TTTTCAAAAAGGTTGTATACTTTTCCTAACACCCTCCTAGATTTTTCACACACAATCCCAACAATTACAACTACATTGAATGTTTCATAATAGCTACATAAACTTCTATGTGAATTTTTTACAAGTTTAACTGTGTTAGTTCATTTTTAGTTTACAATAATTTTAAAGTAACATTTTGACTGATTCTCGTTTCCAAAAGTTTTGAAGATTGTTGATGAATTTTGGGATATAAGAACACTGATTTTAAGTATTAAGTAAGTACAAATAGTTTTCATTCAATATAAAAAATTATAAACTAAACTATTACCTGAAATTACACAAGTTCTTCGAATTGGTCAACAATGCTAGCTAACAATAATCAAGGCTCGCTGCCGGCGCACTGTACACTGTACTGTTGTAGTATTTCTGTGTTCTGTGTTGGTCATTGGGCGTCAGTCTCTCTCCCCTCCCCCCAAAACCTAAACATTGTTTACTGCAGGGGGGGGGGGTGAACAAGCACAAGGCAGTAAACAAAACCTCATCTCTTACAGATGAGTGGTCTGTCGTCATTTAATACACTCTCCATTAGCCGGCCCAGAAAATTGATATCAAACACCCCTTATAAGTGGGAACAACGTTGGGGAAACCATTCGAGAGCTTTAGCTATAAAATGTGACATATAGTTAACTCCTACAAGAATTAGTAAGTTCTTATAAAATGTTGCAATTTTAGTTAGATATTTTTATCCTATTCCAGTTTGTTTTACTCTTTTTAGCGAATTTCCCATAAGGAATAAGCTATTACCGCAGGTCTCGTGGTAAGACTTGGACCGGGAACCGATTTACTTTTTCGTGTTGATGTGCCCATAGGCAAAAACACTGTTGGTTCAATAAAATGTATGTGTCCGTTGGCACAATAACTTGAGCAAAAATTATCCAATTTTGATGAAATTTGGCACACAAGCCTGTAGTATACCTACAAGATCGCACCACTCATCCTACACTCATCTCCATTCATACTAGGCTTAAAATACCTACTATGTATGGTCGCCATTTCATAAAAAAGTATTAAAGTTTATTTGAATGAGATCGCGAACCAGCATGATCGGACCATGGGAATGGGGTTTTATGGTAGTTTATAGGGTAAAAATTGGTTTTTTTAATTTTTGACCATCAAAACATGAATTTTTTTAAATTTCTCACAAAACTATTTTGAATAGCTTAAAATAAATAATTTAGTAAGTATATTGAATCGTTTTTGTACGGTTATTGGTTACAAAGAAAATTCAAACAGTTGTAAATTTAGGCCAACCGCTGTAGTTTACTTGTTTATTATTTTGATTAAACTTGACAAATTTATTTATTTTATACTAAGCTATTAATATTTTAATAAAAAATCACACTTTATTACCTACCATCCCTCTTAAGCAACAAACCTAAGTACTCTTTAAACCTAATGTTATTGAATTAGATTTAATTGAAAATGAAATCAGGCAAATGGAAATTTGCTTAGTCTTCAGGTTTGCTGCAGTGGGGGAGGGGGGGGGGTATTTGATAATATTAGGAGCCAAGGATTTACAAGTAAATAATTTAATTTTTTTACAAAAAGTTAACTTACGAAGCTAAAGTAACAAGAAAGCTTAACAACCACACACAATAAATTAATTAATGGACAATTTCTGACCTAAATTGAATATTGTCTTCAGCTGATCCAAGAGTCTTCTATCTATAAAAATAGCTTAAAATAATTTATAAGTAAAAATACTTTTTAAAAATAACACGTTTTTAAACGCACTAAAAAGTATAAGATAATTTATAAAATGTTGAGAGAATAAATACTTGTAAGATTTTAAACGAAAACGTGGGGCGCATGCTGATTTACAATTAACTTCACCTATTATGATCTATTGCATGTGCCCCACGTTTTTCGTTTTAAATCTTACAAGTATTTATTCTCTCAACATTTTATAAATTATTTTATACTTTTTAGTGCGTTTAAAAACGTGTTATTTTTAAAAAGTATTTTTACTTATAAATTATTATCTATTTTTTAGTCTTTAATGTGTAAATATGTTAAATCTATTTTATATAGCCTCTCAATGCATAACCAAAACCCAAAACCTTATTATCTGTAATCAGATGTTTTATCTTTACTTTGAAATGATTGTTTTATATTTTTAGAATATCTCAGGAGCAGAACCTGTACCTCTTAACCTCTGCTCTTCTAACTGTCAAATTTAAGTATTTACAGCTGACTTAAATTAATTTATATGTTTACATTCTTTTAAAATGTAAACATGGAAAATTTGGAAGCCAAAGGGGTGTAGCCCAAGGGAAATATGAAAATTAAATTATATAATATGGCATTGTCATCCATTTGTGAGCTATGTTTCAAGTTTCAAGTCTCTAGCTCATCGGAAACTTCGTTTAAAATTTATATCAAAATTTGTAGGAAAGCGAGCTAATAAAAAAAAGCCCTTGGGGCGTAGTCCAAGGGAAATATGAAAATTAAATTATATAATATTGCATTGTCATCCATTTATGAGCTATGTTTCAAATTTCAAGTCTCTAGCTCATCGGGAAGTATCAAAATTTGCAAGAAAGCGATTTAATAAAAACAAGCCCATGGGGTGTAGCCCAAGGGAAATATGAAAATTAAATTATATAATATTGCATTGTCTTCCATTTGTGAGCTATGTTTCAAGTTTCAAGTCTCTAGCTCGTCAGGAAGTTAGTATTAAATTGATTTCAAAATTTGTACCGGACAAGAAAGCGAGCTAATAAAAACGTTTTAATAATAATAACTTTCAACATTCTCCAAGTTATTAGATTCTTTTTTAGAAAGGGATGTAGGGATTGTAGCAAATGAAGAAGAGGTTTCAGTCATAAAGCTGGACTCAAAAAGTCTGTCTGTACCAAAAAGATATGCCAGATTGTATGTAGTATGGAAATAAATAAATAAAAAGGCCTTTATTTACAAGTAAATGTCATATAAAATGGTTTTTAAACTCACTCAAGTAAAACTTAAACTAAAATATTTACATAAGGATATACAGAAAATATTTACAAAAGAAATTTACAATATATATTTTATAATTGTTTTTTTTTCATTGCGGCCCTGAAAGAGCTAAGATTTGGAGCTCTTAATCTCCTGAAGGAGACCATTATGGATTAGGCTATACAACTGAGGGCCAAAATAAGAAGAAAAAAAACTTTATTCCAACCTCAACCCTCACTAAAGTGAAGCCTGCAGTCAGAGTGAGTATACTCCGTTCAGACAGCCGTGGCACCTGACGGATTAGGACACCTCCGTCATCCCTCCTAATCCCTCAGGTGCCACGGCTGTTTGAACGCACTATAATACCGGTAATACGCAGCCAGATCTCCTCCCTGCACTCTCCTCTGTACTGTTGGTTAGTCCCGCTGACGTACTGAGGTTCCCCAGCTTGAGCACTTGGACCAGGCAACAGGTCCCTTATGGTAGAATTTTGAATTCTTTGAACTTTTGCCATTTTATCCTTATAGATGCTGTTTCCTTATGCAGGAAAGCAATATGTAAAAGCTGGGAGGACCAAGGACCGCAGGAGTTGTGTTTTGGCATATTCTATTCTAGCAGAAATGTTTTCAATCTATGTTAAGACCTCTCACTGTGCGTTGAACTGCAGATGTAACATGGTCAGAAAAAGAGAGTTAAATCTTTGTCAAGTACAACACCAAGCGTGTTGACAGTGTCTCATACAGAGAATCTCATGCCATCAAGGGTGACTTGTATAGCAGATTTACTCATTCCTGCATCAGAATGTGTGGTCCAGTATGCATAATAACAACAATGGTAAATGGTAAATGCAACACACTTGTCAATATTCAATTGATGAGCCCAACTGCACATACGTACTGATGGCTTGTCTGACCTGTTATTTGCCCTGTATGACCTGTATCTTGTTAATTGTTATATACCCCCGCAGCAGAAAACCTGCCGACTAAGCGAATTTCCATCAGTCTAAATCGATTTTCAATTAAATCTATTTAAATAACATTAGGTTTAACAAGTACCTAGTTGGGGGTTTTAGTAAAATATTAATAGCTTAGTATACAATAAATAAATTTGCCAAGTTTTATCAAAATATATCCATAAACAAGCAAACCACAACATTTTACTATATTCTCCATAAGAATAACATGGGAATTTTAAATTTATTATTTTTTGAATTTTCTCCGTAACCAATAACGGTACAAAAACACTTTGATATACTAAATTATTTGTTTTTAAGCTCTTTAAAAATGTTGTGTTTTGAGGGTCAAAAATTAGAAAAACAATTTTTTACCCCATAAAGCCCCCCGTAAAACCCCGTTCCCATGGTCCGATCATGCTGGTTCGCGAACTCATTTAAGTTTATCCCTCCTTACACCTTCAAACCGAATTTCATCAAAATCGGACAAAAATTACTCAAGTTATCGCGTTCACGGAATATACTCTTGTATTGGTGTACAGAGATTATACACACATACAAAAATTTGAACGAATAGTGTTTTTGGCCTCTAGGGACATCAAAATTAAAAAGTAAATCGGTCCCGGGCCTAGGTCTTACCGTGCCACCTACGGTAATAGCTACTTTCTTATAGGGAAATTCGCTAAAAGCAAATACATCGTAAAATATTGCCTTAAAAACAAATATTCAGCGCATTCCAAACTACACTCACAACTACAATTAAAAGATCAAAACAGGCTCAACATTTTGTAATTCATGAGAAGTATACTTGCACGTAATTAAATTTGAATCAAATTACACATGTTATAGTATACTGGCAATTTGAAAATGCATAAGTTCGGGTTTAAGCGGAAAAGGTGTTGGCTAACCTGCTTTCCCGCGTTCCCACCTGTCGTCTGGAGATTTCGACCAATCAGTTAAGGGCATTCGGCAGATGCTTGCAGCCAATCCCCATCGGTTTCGGTCTTCCCTTCCTTGTTTTCAATTTCAGTTCAGTTCTCACTCTCAGTTCAGTACTGTGTTCTCTTCATGCTTGTGAATGTGAATTAATTGAAGCGGTTGGTTTGTGAATTTACAAACCGTTATTTTATAATTTTTTGTATCGCTGTTTAATTTTTAGTTCGAAAGAAGACGTTCTCGTGTTGTGTTAATATTGTTATTAATTTTTCTAAGTTGGCTTTCTAAACAGTTGTTTAAATCCTTGAGAAACCGTTGTGAACCGGGCCACTTGGGGTTGTTTTGTTTCTACCCTCCGCGAGAGACTGATCAATAAACATTGCTGACAAGGTAGGCCTGTTTAGTTTTTCTTATTTATTATTGCACTTATCATATTATTAAGTTATGTTGAAACATTTCTTTATTAAATACAAAATGCGGCTGCAGTTTGTAATGGTAGCGGTATGAAAAGGCCTAGTCTTCAATTAATTTTATGAATGAAGTGTGCTCATAACATTTTTTAAATTTTATGAAGCAATTCAACATATGACTGGCAACGTTGTTGCCTCAATAGGAATAGGCCTACCTGTGACTATCCAACGCTCAATAATACCCATTTGTATTTCAAATGTCAAGCAATTAAAATTAGTTACTTAAGAAAATCGTAAAACAGCTTAGATTTATCATTATAACTTACATTAACAACAAATTTGTTTGCTGCACATAAAGTTGCAATATCCCATACCTACTCTGATGCTCAATTAGGTCTAGGCCTAGTTCTAACAAGTTTATAGGTCTAGGCCTCTAAACTTAGATCTTAGGCCTAAATCCTGACTGGAATAATAATTCCTCCGCTCTCCATACATAGAATTAATAAGGCCTAACTTACTCACAACTCCGCTGCTAGGCCTAAGTTATTACAGTAAATTCTTCGATGCTATTACTAGAACGTTACCTAGATAAAAAGCATTCATACATATCTATGAACTTGTCGAGAGAAATATGTCTTTATAGGCTACACTAAACATGCACCGGCGCCTGTCTCGTGTGTTCGTCACTCGTAATTTTGTGTCATTTAAACGTTTTTTTGTGTATTTGGTGTATATAACTTAAGACATATTTATCTCGGCAAGTTCATCTATGAATGAATGCTTTTTAATGTATCTAACGTTCTACCGACAACCTAAAGATGTGCCCCAGTGGCACGAAACAGCTGTACTTAGTTTCACTAACTACACACGGATTGTTTGACACAAAAAGGTAACAAAACATTTTTATACTCCTTCTGACATTGATTAAAACATAAGATCCAGGCATCAAGTTTGTCTCGGTTGGTGTTGTAGGCTATACAACAACAACGGCTAACAACGGCTTTATCTGGTGATGTCAGATTTTTCTCCTTATTTCCAGATTTTGCTTCCAGTTTTTTTGTAAAAATCGTAAAAAACTTGTGGGATTGTGTTATTTTGACGCAATATCTGAAGGTGCTTGGTTTTTTTAAGGATAAGCGAGGATGTCTCTGAATAAATTCTAAATAAATGGACTAGGCTAATCCTCCCCTTGGTTCCCGTTCTTAAAAACATTAGGAATAGCATGTTCCGCAACGTACGGTGCAACAAGACCCAAAAGTCCCTGCCTAGGTCACAGGGGTACCGGTCTTCTTCTGTAATTGACAAAGTTGTAGGACGTCCAGCTCCTTGATTCTCTGAACTCACTTTTCCACCAATATGCAGCTGTAGGCCTATTACTGATTTTGTAATCCTTTATTTTGCTGCAGCTTGACGCTGGCTCACTTTCTTCTCTTTGACCAAATTACCTTTAAACAGCTTCCTGCAGGTTCTGTAAGGAGTAAGGTAACCGAAGGTTTCCTTTTTTGTACCGGTATGTTCTTGGCATGTTTTTTAATGATTTTCGGTTTTTAAAAAATGGCGCCGGCCATAATTACCCCAACTGACCCTAAATGAAGTATAATTCAGGTCTGGCCTTTTAGCTCAGCGGGAATAGTTTACTCTTTAACACTACCTAAGTTAAGTAGGTATCTGGTAACAACTAGTATCCGGTCTGGTATTATAGTTTGAAATATACTAATTTCAACCAGGACGTGATTGAGCCATGCAAACGAGATCATCTTGAAAATTAAGAAGTTAAACGGGGCAAAGCCCGCGGGTTACAGCTAGTACCTACTAATATAAAGCCTGTTGTTAAATTACTAGTAGCTTATCATGAGGACTGAGCATTGCTCGAGTTGGATTATTTGCAAATATTTATGTTTAGGCTATAAATATTTGCCTCCGAGATTGATTAATTCATTAATTGACGTAAAATAAGATTACTAACCTGTTGTCAATGAATTCTATATTTGTGTCATAATGACTAATAGTTTCAGGGTTAAAACCCCATTTTAAAATCTTCGGTATCGGTAGTCAAAATTGTCAAACATATCTTCCTGCACTTGCCGTTGTCAACAATACATTAGGTACACATAAACACACACGGGAACATTTAGGTTTACAAAAATTATGTACAATCGCTAGGCCGGCCAAGGACAAAACCAGACTGCAGGGGTTTGAAGATCATATGGATGTAAACAGAAGTAATTGTATTATGTCCATATGTTTTGATGTAAACAAATGTAAACTTGAAACAGTTCATATGATTGACAACAGAATTCTAATTCAGCACAAACTCTGAAATTTTAAAAGCCTGTAAAACAAAGGGATTTCACGAGATATCATCCAAACCCGCAAAAGGCACATCTACAAGATAAGAGCTTTAAATTGATAGGTACCCAATAGGCCTAGATGATTAGAAATAAATATTTAGGGGTCGATTTGCTGCATACAAAAATCCAACAAATTCTTTTAATAATATCGATTAGTTGCTAGGCAGCGGTGAAAATAAAACATGTCTATTGCAATGTAGGTAGGTAGGCTTTATGGATAATGATTGTGTATTTGACATGTATTTAATTATTTAAAAGTAAATAAGCAAACGGCTAGCATTTCGACCCTGGACAGCAATACGTAGCGTTTAAAACACCTAAAAACATCATAGAGTGGTAAAAACTCTGTTTATTTTAAATCCTAACAAAAATTAAAATATTATGAGGTGATAGCCTTAGGTACATTTTTAAACACCTAAAGTAGGTAAAAAGATGAAATAGGCTAGAAGTTAATATAAAAAATCTGTTCTAAAATTTAGAGTTAGGAGGGTTGAGTAGATCTAATAATTATTTTTGGTCCAAACGATGTTTTGCTGTTGCCAAAGTCGCCATGGAATTTGGGAGAACCTTCTCATTTCTTTTGATGTAAAAGTGTTATTTTATTGGCAGAAGAGACTCGGATTCCTTCCATATTCATGGTTCCACTGTACCTGTAGGCTATGGTTTTCCTCAATATTTTCATCGAAATCATAGAACTCCCTGGATATAAATGGTGGAGTTTACTCATTTTATTGTTTATTTTTCAACTGTGTAAGTGACATCTTTTCTTCACTCATTTATAAATTAGCTAACCTGAGATCACAATCTTAATACTGTTTCCAGTTTTACATCGTTCATTCACATAATTTTACCTGTGTTGTGTCACACCCTCTTAGTTAGTTGATAGGTTTGATAACATTAGGGTGGTAAATATTATGACTAGGGGTGGTGAGGTAGACTAAACACATACACAACCTGACTCCGGCCCTTCTCTACCCACTAAACGTGCAGTTGTACGGGCTCATGTTTAAGCTCAAACTGGGCCATTGCTTAAAAGTGACCGTTCTAGGTTAAATATCTTTGCAAGGTGAACTTTTTCTGTAAAAATACTAGGTACTTTTAATACTAGTTGCCTAACCCTGTGGCTAAGAACATGGTATAGTAACTTAAGGGGAGACTGAACTTTTTATGCCTTAAAAAATTAAATATTTGTTTTTCATCTAAAATTAATCTCCGTTTCTTCCTGATTAAGAAAATATATAATACTTAGAATATTAAAAAGCTTCTTATGATAACAATAAATAAACAATGCTAACTCTACCGAGGTTTCGGCCACACTATTCTTACGGCTTTAAGTGTGTGCTGCAAAGCTTTAAGCGTGTTTTTCCGAACGTTTGTTTTTTTATCTTTAGGTACACATAGTTCAAAAACTGACAAAAAATAGACTTAAAATTTTGCATGCATTAGTCTGGGTACTTGGTGAGTACATTAAACCAATCATATATTGATTAGGCCTAGTTATAAATTTTCATTTAAAAAATAATTAATTTTTATTTTAAGAATATCGTATAAAAAATTTGTATTTTTTAAATTATTGAAAATAATTTTCATGTCGATATATTTCTTTAAAAAGTGGTTTAACATAAAGATATGGATGTGATAATTAAGTTTGCAAAAAATCATTATGATAGGTTTAGTAGTTTTTGTGATAGGCCTATATGTACTTGAACTTGTAGAGAATATCCATTTAAAAAGCACTGAACCAAAAAAGGTACAGTCTCCCCTTAAGTACCTACTGTACTTGAATAAAGCTACAGTACCGGTACTGTATTTTAATAATGTAGAAGGGTACTTTCCTGTTAAAGGAAACATTCATTATCATCGATGATTTCTTTTTTATATAGGCCTATCAATATTTTATTTTTTTACGGAAAGTAAATAAAAGAAACGTCTTATAACACTTAAAACAGTTTTGCGCTTATACTGTTAGGACGGTAAATATACCAAAAAGATGGCCAAGTGGTGATCGATTTCAATTGGATACTCCAATCATCATCAGACCCAATAGGCGAATGTCAAAAAGTCCAAAAAGCACACCATGCAATGCTCACCATTATGTTTGTGTAAGACAGTTATTAGCTGAACAAAACTTATCATTTACAATAAATAAAATTCGTTGATTGTAGACCTACACCCAAGGGAATACTTAAGGTTACATACCTAACCACCTCATGGGTTGTTTGGTAACGCACAAGAAATATTGTTTGACAAAAGACAAGTATGTACAGAAAGTCATACATTTTACTGTATTTTGCTCAAATATTTTTGTCCTAGAAGTTATAGTTTCTGTCCATTGCTTTGTTTTCACACTAAATACTTAAGTCAAAACCTCTCTCACTTGTGTTTTATTTAAAAATCGTAACCATAATGTCATGAACAGACAACTTTGAGGTGGATACTAACTTACTGACATTTGATGGGAATATATCGTTTAAGCAATCATAACTATAGGCTAGAATAATAGTTATCAAGATGTTTAGTTAGGGCTTTGAACTTTCACGTGTGTAGTCGCTGTAATTATTCGAAATATTCACTTTTATCTAGCTGATATAGATAAATTCACGTAAGTTAGGTGATTGGCTAGATAATT